TCAGGAAACATGAGCCATGTTCCATGACATAGTTAGTGAGACCAATCATAATCTGTGAACCCACGGCCCACGATCCTGAGGAGGGTCAGACTTGGGACTCACAGTGTTTGGTCCTCTCCCACACTCCTGACCAACTGTCCAACCGAGGGGTAGATGCCGCTCGAAATTGAGGAATGAGCCTCGACAACCAGGGGCCGTACGCGGAAGCTCACGAGTCAAAGCCAACAATTTAACTCACCCATAATGGGTGGCCAGTGACCCCGCCTCGTGATCCAGGTCATACCCGGCTCGAATTTGTAACTGAACAAGTTACCGCCCCTCATGTGATCTCACAATCTTGGTATTAATCGCATTCTTTGGACAAAATACGATGCATGACTCGGCGTTTAGTGGGTTGAAAATTGTAGACTTTGCGAGTTCAATAAAGGTCCATTTATGGGGCTAGTTCAAGGACGAATGTATTGAGATTTTCATGTTTGAGAGGGTATTGTAAGATGGGAACGACCTCAGAGACCTCCTCGTGGTGTTCCTGGAAACTCAACTATAATGTTCTATTTTTTTCTTTTTTCTCTCTAAGTTTTATGGAGGGCTTCTAGATTATCTCCATTTGAGTGGTTTCACAACACCCTAGTTTATTGACCTTCGAGGTTGACCTGGTGTTATAACTAGGATGTTGTATATAGGAGATAAAGTTTAGAGGCGCCACGGGTTTGATAAACCAGTGGCAACCACCCAAACCTCCATATTACTGAACACAATATAGGTGGTTACAGTAAATCCATAAATAAGGAGTTGATCTGTACCAACTACATATGCGGGAAGAGCTCTGATGAGATAATTCTGTTTTCAGAGCTTTGCCTCCCTCGCACTGATGAAAATAATGACCTAAGGCCTTGAAACAAGACCCTTGACGGCAACAGCAATCAATGTCAGACACAACTTGATCGCTTCAAACCTACGACCTCTACATACCTCCGACTTGAGTGCAACACAAAACCCGAATCTTTTAAATCAATGACTAGAATAATACCAATGCATCGACTACAATGGATTCTCACAGCCAGAATGTAAAGATACGACGACAAACTCTCATCATCATCATCATCAGCGTCATCATCGTTGAAATAAGAATAGGGAGACTTTACTTGTTGGAGCCGCTACCACGGATATAACCGCCACTGCCTTTGGAGGCGCCACTATTGGCACTCGCACTCCATCCTGGCACAACACCATTGTTCATATTGCGCTGAGCTGCCGACTGAGCACGAGCAGCAAAGGAGCCACTCTCGACCGAGCCTGAGTTGCCATAAGCCGTAGACATGATACGACGAGCAGCAGCACCGTCCATCGGGCGGGAAGATTTAGGGTTGGTCATATTGACAACTCACGGAAGACCTAAGGAAAACGCGAATAACAGAAGCGTTAGGTATAACTAAACGCATGAGGTAGAGAAATGTTGCAACAACCAACAATAACTTGAGAGCAGCAACCTCAAGGAAGAACTATTCTATAAAAGAGCAATAGTAATTACCAAAATGCACATGATGAATGCAGGCCTCACCAACGGTACCCTACCTAGTTGACCAACTGTTAGAATTAACGATGCAAGTGATGTCACCATTGCTATAGATACCACTATGAAATTCATAGTATGAGCAGTATTCATAGTATGACTTCCGGGATGATCCCACTGATACAATGAGACCATGACATTGAAATGCATACGAAAGATGAAAGAGAAAAATGAATCGGCTGCCACGCGCCCAACTGTCTATCTGTCGCACACGACCAAGATAGTTCTCATATGAGAAGCGATTCTCCACAACGTAATGGCTCTAGCGTAGGACTAGAATGCGCCACCTCGCTGTGTCACGTGGGCCTTGCACAATCACACAGGTTGTATTATGTACTTATCACACAACCACATTTGGCGCAATGTCTACCATGCATGCGCAAAGCATGACCATAACCAGCGAGGGTAGAGCATGAAATTCTTCCAAAGGTCCGTAAGCAATACCCAAACTATGGGCAACGGATTACTCAGGAGGGAGAGGGACGACGAGAGAAGGAAGTCCGCAGTTCACGTCCCGCCCTGGCAGGTGGGTGGCTTGAAACTACTCCCTTAAGGTCGTTAGAGACTTCAGCGCGTAGGCTCATCCTTCGGCCGCCGCGTAACGTAGCAGGGTGACCTCTAAAGATGCACATGCGTGCAGGTCAGCTACGGACCACGGAGATTTGCCTCGTTACACAGCTATATCGGCCAATAAGCAGCGAGGGTAGACTAATTTCATATTATTTTCGGGATAGAGAGAAACAAGTGAGTGACATACGACTTTCACCGGAGGTAAAACACGAGGATCCTAGAGATTGGAGACAGCAATGACTGTGATATTGTAGACTGAATCTAACAGTGTATCTTTGGCCAATACTCTTGGTATTAACTGCACTCCGTGGACAAATCTCTATATAATACTCGATGTATTTTGTTGGCTGGATATTGGATAGATGAAGAGTCAATCTACAGCGACCATATACATAGATGGGGAAGGCTTGGATTAGAACATTCTTTTTTCGAGTTCCACGGCGTCCACGAGAAGAATGACACGGGTCTTATAACTCACGAAGCATTTTGCAAGGGTGCTCTTCTAGGATGGGACAGTGAAGAACCCTCCCTTCAAGGAACGCCAAGAGGAGCAGTTCCTTGATCACATGGCCACTGATCCTCACAACGAACAGAGAGAAGCAGCGCGCCATAACACTCATGAGACATGCGACGAAGTTTGATTTGAGACTTGAAACTAAATCGAAGGAAGTAGTGTCCCAGACAATATCAATCTCTCAATCGATGCCCTTACAGAACAACCATACAACTACATGGTGTTAAACATTCATGACCCTTACGAACTCTCGACTTGTGTGCAACACAAAACCCGAATCTTTAAAATCAATGACTAGAATAATATCAATGCATCGACTACAATGGATTCTCACAGCCAGAATGTAAAGATACGACGACAAAATCTCATCATCATCATCAGCGTCATCATCCTTGAAATAAGAAGAGGAAGACTTTACTTGTTGGAGCCGTTTCCACGGATATAACCGCCACTGCCTTTGGAGGCGCCACTATTGGCACTTGCACTCCATCCTGGCACAACACCATTGTTCATATTGCGCTGAGCTGCCGACTGAGCACGAGCAGCAAAGGAGCCACTCTCGACCGAGCCTGAGTTGCCATAAGCCGTAGACATGATACGACGAGCAGCAGCACCGTCCATCGGGCGAGAAGATTTAGGGTTGGTCATATTGACAACTTACGGAAGACCTAAGGAAAATACAAATAAAAGCAACGACTAGCATAACCTAACACATGAGGTATAGAAATTTTGGAACAACCAACAATAACATTTGAACAAGGACTCGACAACGGTGGCCTGCCTAGTAGAACAACTGATAGAATCAACTCGATAAAAGTGATGTCGCCATTCCTACAAATAGGATCATAAATACCAAGATTACCGTCCCACACAAGATGCACATGGGCATTGGGAGGCCTATGAAGCAACGAGGAGCTGAGCTTGACCAACCTCACAACCTCGTAATCTAATCTCAGAGTCTTGAGAAGGAACAAAAAAATGAAACGGCTGGCACGTACTCAACTGTCTATCTGGCGCACGAAACTGACATCCTCCACAACTGAACCGCGATTCTCCAAAAGGAAGTGACACTAGCGTAGGGCTAGCATACGGTATCATGGGTGTTCTTAGACAATCACACAGGACTTGTGTCACAGGTTGTATTATGTACGTATCACACAACCACACTGGATGCAATGTCCACTACGCATGCGCAAGTGGCGCGGCGCAAAACATGATCGTGTGAGTGAACATGTGGAATCCATATTGTGGATACCAAATGTTGAAGACAGCAACAACAGCATTATTGTAGGCTGCACAGATAGTTGTAGAAGCGAGTGTAGTGCCTCGGGGCTTGAGTGTGGTCCTTTCCTCTAATTGCAGGAGGTCATTCGAAGTTCAGAGTCCAAAGTATGAGAGAATAGTTCAGTTACCCGCCTCTATTCAAATAGCAACTTTTCCAACAGACGGCTCACACCGCCGAGGGCGACGTTTCATTTCGCATAGAGGCAGAATCAGGCAGACAGGTCGCGCACGGCGATGGAGGGAGTACTATCTCCCTATGAGTGGCAATTAGCAACGTTATAGGTCGAGAAGATACTCAAGAGGTATCGACAATGGTCCCAACAACAGTGTTGGAATATATGTCCACTGCCCTCACCTGAGCTCCGGTGTTTTTTCACAAATTATGGAAGCATATACACGAATTCGGGTACAAATGCACAGAAACCAATGGAAATTCCCTGAAATTTCCACAGATCTTTCTTATTATCACCGATACATGTAGTTGACCATATGCGAGGTTTTTCTACATTGTCTTTGGTGGACGAACGAGACTGTAGACCTAGCAGGTGTAGGTCCAAGCTATGTACCCCACGAGCACTTCAACCGATACGGAGACGGGCATGTTCGGCTTTTATACTTTCGGGAAGGAAATGATAGAAGTGACACGACTCGGCTGATGTTGCTAGCATAGATTGTGTAAACATAACAACGCAAGCCGACGTGAAGGCATCAGTAACATAAAAACGGTGTATTTGGGAATAGGAAATCATACTTCTCATCACTTGAGTACGAGAGAACTCGAAACGTGTAATCTCTATGATTTTACTCAACTCCACAATCGACGATTACAATGCCGCCATCCACAGTAGGCTTGTCCTGAATACACACAGTGCCATCCATCACAAACTCTGAACTCCTCACCTGCGCATCAGTCGGGGCGTTCTCAACAGCATCCAACACGTCCATACCATCAATGACTTCACCGAAGACCACATGCCTGATAGATCCATCAGAGATGAGAACAGACATTCGAGTATTACTTCCCATCGAGATGAGGTGTGGGAGCGAAAGTGACGAAGAACTGCGAGCCGTTAGTATTGGGACCAGAGTTGGCCATGGAAAGAAGTCCTCGCTTAGTCTGAGGAGAAGGTAGGACCATACAGCTACAGTAACTTCAATGTAAAAGTACATGATGGTCACGGAAACCCTCATCCTGGAACTTCTCACCGTAGATAGACTCGCCGCCTGAAAGGAGTAAAATCGCACACTGGCTGCCTTGCTAGGGATATTACCAGTGCCGTTCCCGTTGGTGAAGTCACCACCCTGCATCATGAAGCCTTTGATGACACGATGGAAGGTAGAGCCCTTATAGGCGAGCTCCACTTCTGGCTTACTATGGCATTTACCACTGTCACCTGAATAAAGAAGGGAAATAATTACATACCACGCCTTGTACACATTACCTCTGCACAACGCCAGGAAGTTCTCAGCAGTCTTCGGCACCGTATCGGAATAGAGGGCGAAAGACACACGCTTGGGCTCCTCAGTGCCGACCTATTTCAAGTCTACCATGAGTAACTCCTGTAGTGGAGTACTACTACCTTGATATCCATCCAGGCCTTGGGGAGCTTGGCAATGTCGTGAACTGGGGGTAGCTCAACATCAGCCTTCTCTGAGTAGATACTCTGACCGAACATCGCCCCAAATGCTGTCTTCTCCTCAGCCAACGCCTGAGGGCAAACATGAATATAACAAAGCCTGGATATAACTCGCATTGCCTCCTTAGCCCTCTTCTTGCAGTCCGCCAAAGTAGTACGAATCTCTCGGTTCTGAGGTTCGGCCCTTGCTGCTATGAGAAGTTGCTCCTTCGCATCCTTAAAGGAGGCGATCTCCATCAAGGCAGCACCGTAACGGAAGTGTGCTTTAGTTGATTTCTGGGAGAGAACGGAAATTATACTTCTTGAGAAAATCAAGTCTTACATCGTCAAGTTCAACTGCCTTCTTGCCATACTCTACTGCGGCGTACCAGTCTGCCAACTTCATACAGGAACTACAAAGCATGATGATAAACACCGTTCACACCACTGGCTGATATTACTTTGCCATGTTGAGGTAACACGATAGAAGGACCTTATCCTTATCCTCCTTATCAGCACCAGACCAGGACGATGTCTGCTCAAAGTAGTCAACTCCCTCTTTATATTGCTCCAGGGCTTCCTCGTACCTGACCGCATCACGATAAACCCGATAAAAGTACGGTAGGTAGTACTCGCCAGCCTTGAACGCAGCGTTTCCCTTCTCCTTACAGGCTGATGCAGCGGCGACCTTCTCTTGTTTGGACATACTCCACTTATCACTGCCAACACACAACTATGCACCACAAACTCGAAGGGTAATGAGGCCTACGGCTTGCCAGGCTTGAAACTGAGCAGTTCCACGTCGAACTTTAACCACGAATTTGGTGGTATCTCAGCGCCAGCCCCCGCGGCACCATAGCCGAAGTCGGGATGGAATGTGAAGATCGCTCTCTCCCCTCGATGCATGGTAGCAACACCTTCGTCCCAACCTTTGATGACCTGCAATAGTACGTAGATGAGGGAACCTCAGCGATGTTATTACCTGTCCCTTGCCAATGGTGAACTTGAAGGGGGTACCGCGTTTCCGGGAGGAGTCAAAGACTTCACCATTGGCCTTCAACCAACCAGTGTAATGCACCTATCGTGTTATCAATACATTCAGCAATGCCGTCCTAAGCGGCTTACCTCAACTTCATCACCAGGCTTAGGAGTGTCTTCACTGAGGCCTTCCTTGGTGACCTCTTTAACGCAGTGACCATCACCTGACGAAACCAAGCTCATCAGCTTACCCCGTCTTGATGTGCCCCCTACCAGAAAGGTCATCGGTACGAAGCACTACTGGCTCCTCCTCTGTATTGGCAATCGAGGAGTTCTGCTCTTGATCAACAGCAGCGGAAGACGACATTGAACTCGTGATGAAATAACAAAGCTTACTGGGGACAAACTGGGAATGTTCGGGGTGATCAATACACCTCTCCTGAGTTCCAAGACCCCTCCCAGGATCGAGTTTTACATGAGAAGGTCACGTGAGTCACCGATTTTATGGTAACCTATACTACGGGTTATATGGAACTAGCCGCTGATAATGTGGTTTCACCACTTAAGGGGAAGAGTGGTAAGAAGTGACCTCTGCGACGGTGAAGGGGGTGACACCAGAGTAACACAATTGTGAGGGATGTCTACAATTACTTGGATCTGTCGGAAACAACCTGGTCCTGGTAGTAAGAAGTGCGCTCATGCTCTGTCTCTTTTACCCCTATGTCATTCAAGTCGTCATGCTTGAGGCTGTCTTTCAGATCGTCTCAGTCAGTCTGTTGAGTTAGCTAATCTCGAGTGATCATTGGTCTCAAGTACTGATATCCCATAAGTGTTAATAGTAGTTCATACCTTATGATGGAGTACATACAGGGCGAGTAGTCATTGGACGTTACCTGTAATGAAAAACAACTTGTCATCCCAAGTTAGTTGAATACCGACGGGGATGCTCGCGTCGCTCCGCCAGCAATTCGCACTTCTGAGATGAAACCGTAAGGAGGAGGAGGAGCATATCTCACCCACGATCACGGGTAGGAAGAAGCTCTTAATTTGATCTTAATTCCACCACCCCCGGGAGTAAGTACCGAAGGCGGTGTAGACACGCACTCACGGCGCATTCACTGAGTATCACTCCACTCTGTGAATGGCTTTCTCCCATCGGTACTTCTAGGGTCGGTTCGTAGTCAGCATGTCGATAGTAGTGTTGCCACTAGAGGCCGGGTACCGTCCTTATACCCGACGATGAGTAGCCAGAGCTTCCAATAAACCAATTGGTGACACGTGAGTGGGCTTCTCTCAGTTGATCCCGAGTGCTCTTGGGTGGCAAGGATCAGTGGAAACCCAAGAGAGGTTACATATAAGCCTAGCAATTGATAAGTGAGGTAGTATTAGAGGCAGATGAATGTCTACCATGATGTAGATCACCAAGGAACAGCTAAGAGCCCTTGGGGATTCGATAGGGTGAAGTTGCTTGCTGAGGTTGGTTTAAGATTGGTGAGCTGGAGAGTAAGGCAATACTGTCTTGGTCGTCATCATCATCACAGCGTCCACTTAGTCGCTCTGGAAGGGAGGCTTCTATGTTACCGAGCCACGAGGCCTGCAAAGCTTTCGGGGATGCAAAGTAACTCCATGCACTGTACGGAGTGGTCGTATAGGGATTACAAATAGGAGTGGTCTGATTTATCAACGTGAGTGTCGTATTGCTACTGGTACTGCTGCGCCTTATGTAAAATATTTGGTCCTCTCCTTTTTGGCAACAAGCAATTCCGTATCCTATCCCTCTAGGGTTGTATGCCTTGGAGGATGCAGACGGCCAGCACTGTCATTCAAATAAAGCGGTCAGATGACATCATCTGGTGGAGGTTATGCAAGTCGTAAATGAAGTTTGTTTCTATGGATTATCACTCGAATGCTCATGGTGTCGGGGACTAATTATCGAGCTGGACCTCGAAGTAAGCAGTGAGCCATTTTGATATGTTTCGTATCTTGCTAGAGTCCACCTCAGGTACACTTCTTGGTACGGTCAAGGAGGTCCCAAAGCCTCTAGAAGCAGTTCCTGGTGCATGTTCACCTTGCCCTACTGTTGACTGCTCTTCCTTTCTACTGCAACACGGCGGCGTTAGGTTCAAGAAATCATCATTACCATGGTCAATCGACGACGTAGGCGTCAAGTCACGATACTGCATGCTGCATACCATACAATGCTATGATCTGCTTCACCAGGTCGAACTCGGTGGCGGCTACCCAGGACTTCCGGACTAGCGGCTTGGAGATTGCGGGTCGTTGGCTCTTGTTCATGTCCCCTACGTGATGATGCGATTCATTCCATTATCGATTTGGTATGTGTTGTCATCCCTCAATTAATAAAGTGGGGGATGTGCCTACTCACGGGTGCGGTCATCGTCTTGATCAACAGCAGCATGTGCTCGGATGCGGCACATAGGCCTTACAGCGGAACTGCATTTGTGGTGGCGAGCTGCTGATTTTTGGTTTCCCGATGATCGGAAAACCAAAAATCAACAGCTCGGAATCCGATCGTAAGTGGCAATACTTGCCATGTGTTCGAAATGTTTTTCATCCTTAACAGTTCAGTGTTCTCAATCAGTTGAGTGGCTGAGCGGCGGGAATGGGATAGTAAACTAACTGAACAAATTCCACCCTTAGATGAGCCGCCCGTTTGAAAGGCTCCGAACGAGCTTGTATCATGGGAAAGACAGAGATTGGACAAAGCAGCCTAGAGGGAGTTATCGATGGTTTCAAGGAGAATTATCAACGAGGCTCTCTAAAAATATCAACCGCGGTGTACTTGATTAATGTGTGTAGTACTTTATCGTGTATAGTAATGGAGGAGGACCCGTATGAAGGCCTTGTGGAAGAGAAGTTCAATCTCTCACAAAAGGCTCTCCAGGGAAGATGGATTCAGTATCCCTTACGGTGCTTCGTCACTGTCGTCAAGGACAAAGTGTAAGACCACACCCCACAGGCATGAGTCAACCTGCCAACGACAGGTACTTTGATGGGGGTGTCACCTACGACTTGGTGAAACACTCTAATGGCAAATTCGAGGTGGGGGGGGCCACTCCTCTATTTGTTCTTTGTATAAGATCCGGTCAGGTCGGTGGTTATATCGCCAACCCTGAGCTCTCCTCGGCAAGCGAGATACACTGGAGTTTACCAACGGGTGAAACAGCGACGTGGACCTATGAAGGAGAGAACGATGTGAGTCGATCTGAAGGCTGGTAGAGTCCTACGCCGCTTTTCAGGGGTTTGGAGGTACAGTCGCCGACGTGGACCCGACGCTGATTATCACTGAGGGCGGCCGATCGAAACGCCACAAGCCGGTAGCTACTTCTCGATGTCGGCGTGCTGATGATGTATCACATCAGCCCGTGGACTATGCTGCTCTTGAGGCTCAATTGAGGCGAGAGGAAGCGGGGCTCACCTCAGAGTCGAGTGGCCCGACTGAACGGAGATCCTCAACTGACTTTACGTATGTTCCTCAAATGGCTTCACATCACTCGATCCTTCGTGTTGCTCTCGTAGGATGGGAGCTCATCAGGTCGCCAAGAACGCAGCTGCTGCGAAGGCGTAAGGCGACTCGGAGTGCTTTGACAGCCTCGTTGCAGTGTTTGGGCGTTTCGGAAGCTAGTGGCTGCTAATATTCTAGGTATTCGATTCTTCGGGATAAGATCATACTCTGGCTTGGAACCACCAACACTAGGAGAATTGACAGTATCGTTAGAAAACGTGGCGAGATTCATCATCATTTCGAGATCCCCGGCATGGTTGACGAGGGCCTCTCTCAGTAAGAGATCGATCGCACCTCCTTCTGTTAGATGTTCTACTGTCAAATGCCGTTCACTACTACTGCTGTTTAGGCTGAAGAACGACTATGATTTGGAATGCTCCCATAAAGATAAGATGACTTTTGTACGTTTCACGTATGACCAGTGGAGGAAAGCACTCGAGAAAGAGAATCTCCAAATAGCTGAAGGGCGTTCCGGCGAGTCTCCGGGTAGGTCATCTAAGCCAACTCCCGCCAGTGGATGAACCTCGTCAGAAGTGCCAAGTTCACCTCGGAAACGGTGCCTTTGTGTTTCCTATTCTTCCCCAACAAAGGGAGACGTGGGTAAAGTAGCTGCTGAACTTAATCTTGTTCCCGAGGGTACGCTCCTCGAAACTGAGAAGGTGGTCGAAGCCCGACTTGAGCGCACGCGGAAGAATCTTTCTGATCAGATAAAACCACTACTCGGAGTTCTAGATCGGTATGTTATGGATGTTGAGACTCTCCGCGACACTAAAATCGGGAGAATTGTCCGTCGGTATTCACGGCATGAGGATCCCGAAGTGCAGGAGGTGATCAGCCGATATGAATTTGATCGAGCACCGCTTTTCAGGCTAGTAAAGGCCTCATTGCAAAGTGGAAAGCCGTGTATAGAGATGCCAAAGCTAGTGAACATTAGAACACTTTTTTATTTTTCAATTTCTGTCCCGGAATCTCTTCCATTGCGTTGAGTCAGGAGTGAGTGTCACTGTGGAATGAACACAAGTTAATTCGCAAGTAGTCCAATCCGGAAATTCTTGCGGGATGTACGTCGATTACGCCGAAAGAGTAGATAATCTTGAGATTATCATTTCCTCATTATTCGGATCAACCTCGATATCCTCTTCTCCACTCTCGAGTTTCTGATCAACACTGGACGTACTACTGGGTAACACGAAGATGACGTGCTCAGAGACAAGCTTCGCTAGCCGTCTGCATGAGAGCTCCTTAGACACTCTCCACTATGCGATGGATGTCGGAACCGGAATATTCTTCCTCGTGCTATCGACTATCATCTCGGTAGGCGCGATCAACTTTTGCATCTACGAGTTGCATGTCCGCAGTCTTTGGCAGCCTGACACCTCGTGGTTACCCTATCGGCCCCGCGTGAGATTCTCGAACGATTCTTTTGCATATCTCTGTCCGTCGTTACCATTAATCTCGCAACCAGTAATGTCTGAGCTGCGAAGTCATCAGTCGCTGCCGAACCTTTAGCAAAAAAGGGACGACCCAAACTGATCGTTGTCGTTCCAACACAAGTCCACGCTGATATGAGAAACAAGCACCATCGCTCATGTCAGGGTCGAACGAAATTGAATATCGTCCGTCAGGCGAACGTTGATACTATGTCACTGATTAGAATGCTACTCTCGAAATGGTGTAGTATCGCCAGAACGCGTAAAAGCCAAATAGAATATGTTCAGGCTCATGACTGGAAGCGCTCCATGAGCATGAACTAAGTCACTCTAAGAGTGCGTAGTGCTTTCATGTGAGTAGAGCCTAGGTTCTAAACTGTATAGTTGGCATCTCCCCATCGAGCTTCCCCTTCCGACAGATCTCCAATGCTATCACCGTAAGCGCATCAGCCAACATCTTATGAGCATGAACTGAGCCGACTCCTGTGTCATGTCATACACGTATCACCAACCTGCTTCAACCTGACACACCTATAGTCATCTATAGGCCAATAAGAGACTCTCATTGGCAGATTTATAGGTGTCTCACGGGAGTTCATTAGTAATCAAAGAGATGGCTGGCCCCGTGGAGTCGACATTAAATGACCTCCTATGGCCGAAGCGCTACACCGCGATGTAGAATAGGCAACCATCCGAGACCGCCTTACCGTCGAAGGTTACGAGATTCGGAGTTAACATTTGTAAAACATGAGCTCCATCAGGCTTCATGAGAACCCTGTAAACGAGCATCGTAACCATACAAGATGAGGAAGACCCTCATGAGGGCTTTTTGAACTTGTCCTTGATCGGGATGATACCAGGCCATCTCGCATGTGACAGATCGAGTGAGCAGCAATAAAAACATACTAATAACTGTAGAAACATGAGAGTACATGACCTGGGGCCCACTTGGAACTGTGAGCCGTTCCTGTCAACACAAGGAGAATGTGGTGTTCAAATGCAATGGACAAGAGCTCTCTTGGTATCAGCAATTGCATCAGCAGCAGCTACATTACGATAAACTAACGTGTGCAGTGATATTAAATGCATGGTAGTTACTCTGTTAACAATTTGCTCGGAGATTCAGCAGTAGCAGCAGCAGCAGCATTCTGTTGGGATGGCTCCGCCTCGGCCATATCTGCAACATGATACCGAATACTCGCACAACTTCCCACAACCACTCACCTCCTCCCCCCTCCTCATCCTCAACATTATTCTCGTCCTCAGAGGCACCCACAGCCGGAATTTGCTCAGGCTCATCATCATCGTCGGACTCATCCGACTCGCTCTCGGAAGTAGTATCACTGCCACTATCTCCACAAAGAGCGTCATCCACAGCCTCCTCAACGGGTCGAGCCAGGCCCTGCTCCCTGAGCTTATTATACCGTTCCATTATCTGGGGCCTTATGAACTTCTTCCATCGCTCCTTCATGCTCTGCCAGCTTCGACCGGGCAGCACATCTAAGCAGTAAATAGTCGTAGTAGGTATACATATGAGGAGAGGCAGCAGCACTTTCCGCTTCCGCCAGCTTCCACAAACGGTCCCCTGAGGTCCGAAGCGACTTTCCTCGCATCTGAGCCCGCCGGATTGTCTCCTTAACCCATCGCTCCAACTTGATATCTTCCACGGCTGAATACTGCCGACGTTTCTTCGACCTACTGTTCTCAGATGCAATAAGCTCCTCAAACCAGTAGTCGCCGCGACTAGGAGAAGGGGATACTACCCTCGCTGACGGAGGGGTAGAGTGGGTAGACATTATAACTCAACTGTTCAGTACCGCTGGAATCACATTGAGGAACATCATCAGCTCGACGACCTTCCAACGAAAGTCATGACGTATAAGAAACATCGTTTGTGGGTTTCCTGGTGATAGTAACTAGAGTCACCACCGGAGCCGACATCGCCTCCATCGGAACTCGCCGTAGTACATCCTTGCCCACCTCAGGGTCGAACTCCAGTACAAACTCTTGCGATCTGACCCCGGCATCCGCCGCCTCGCTGGTCGTGATGGTGTACCGGAAACCATGGCCTGACGGTAACCGACGTAATGCATACTTCGCCACTCGCTCAGCTATACGCCCACATGCCCGGCCCATCCCTCTGACCGCTACCTGATGGTGGAATGGATGATCATAATCGACTAAGATGAGCAACTGCTACCTTCGACTTCTGCTTCTCCACGATAGCCTCTAGTACTTTATCAACATACAACTGGATCGGCTTATCCCTGCTCACTACCACATCCACAGGACCTCCTTCAATCGGCGTCCGTGGGGTATACCGGAGCCGCACCGGAGGGGCGCTGGAGTCTGATGACATTGTTAAAGCTGAAAGTCTCGGGATGATATCAAGACCGCATCATATAGACCAAAATGAATACAATGCTACTGAATAGATGTCAGAAACAAATGTTTTAGCTGCGCATGTGTTAGATCATCTAAACGGCATCATACTACCACGATGGTCTCAGCCTCTGCCCGACGTCGGTTCGCCGAGGTTCGTTTCCTAATGACAAGTGCAGTGCACAAGACGGCTCCTTCCCACAGAGCTTCTGGCTTACGGGACAGTAGCGTCCTCGCTAGGGTACCCGACAGGCATAAGGAGGTAGACCTTCTCATTGGAAGGCCTGTTGAGGATGTTCCTTATGGCCGACTCTGCCCCCATTGGTGTGGAGGTAAGGGTAACCTGAGAAGCTCATCCTCTCGAGCCAAGAGTAGAGACGGCCTACCAGTCCAGCGTTATGCAATGCACATATCAGCATTCCAGCTGCAATACCACAGGACTGCTCAACGTAGTAGTGTTCCTGACGGTTACCTGACAGATTACCACCGAGTCAATTATCGTTCCCTGGGCACTTATAACTCACCCGTAGTAGGGTCAACCCTGTGTGATTGCTTCATCATAACAATGAGATAAGGCGCCTCCGACAGATAGGGTTTGGCCACCTGAAAAGCCTAGTAAAGGTTCACAATGTCGTCGGGTGTATGTACTCGGCCATCACGATGTAGATCCCCAACCATAGGGGCAACGTCATTAACCCAGCTTCTACGCATACGACGGTCGTAATTCAACTGCTCTTCACGCTCCACAACATCACCTAGAAAGCAGCGTCTCAGAGCCCCTTACCGCACCACTTACGTATCTTGTCCTTAGCCTTCTGATTATGGACAATAACGAAGGTCCATGGTTGGAGATGGGCACCACTAGGAGCTGTACAGGCTGTCCTCACAGCTGCCATTATGATATCCATAGGCACATCATCCTTTGAATAAAATCTGATGGACCTGCGCCGACGATTCAACTGGGAGGGGCAATGGTTCTAATAATGACCTCCTAGTATTCATAAGGTCGAGGAACTTGGTAGCGTTGGCCATCATCACGGCTTTAGTCTGACGATCGTGTCTGAGGGAGGTCACTGTAAGGGGGAATTATTATCAAGTCCAGGGAAACCTGAAGACTTCATGGCCCTGTAGGACCTCCTCTTCTGCAAGGTGGTTGTCGGGATCGGCCAGGAGGGATCCACTACGGGGACGATCCGATTTGAAAACTGATGATAGTTCACTATAAGATGCCCCCCCATGCCCCCTCCATCACTACATTGATAGGCTGCAAAGACCCCAGCAGCCCCAACTGCAGCTGCTGCTACTCCCAAGCAAATACCTATTTTGGAAGTGTTACTCATGCTATCGATGGTAGAGTACTGAGGAGGGAGGGAGGCCGACATGAAGGAGCAATGATAACAACAACAAAGCTGAAACGGGAGCTCCACCGACAACACTGCGGCAAAGTCAACTACATACGGTAGGACCACTAGTGCCATGTGCTTAAGTTAGCATGTGTTAGCAGCTCCCTCCAACACGTCCATCACTATCCAACAAGGTTGGTGCGGTAGCACCATCAGCAACCAAGCCACTAGGTAACTTGGAGCTCCGATGGTAAATTACCATTAGCTGGACTCGTACTAAGAACCATAGACGTCAGGTAGATATACGACAATATTGCGATGCCGCTCTACTCGAACGTGTCGGACATTCATAGGTGTCCTCAGCTCCTACCAACCTTTGAAACGGGCACGGAGCCTGGGAATCTGTCATGAGGGTTCACCGCAACTCATCTCCACCACTCGTCATCGGCGACTCTCTCATTTTACTTCAACACTAAATAAAGATAATAAACTCAGAAACGTGACCTAATTATCTGTAACCTATGCACGAGGTCCTAAACTTTGTGGTCGCCACTCAGTATTCTCTTTCCATACTTCACTTGAGCTCCCTCCCCCTACATACACCTCCTTCTTCCACACCGGCACTTCACCTTTCAGTGCATCAATAGCTGCAGAAACAAATTCCTATACGAAGATAGATCGTCCCAACATCGGCACCGTGGACATTACAATAGCTGCTTTCCTATGGGCACTCGCAGCTGTGATGATAATACTAGCCTCCCCCACATTAACTCGACCTAGTCGATGACATGCATACACCGATAACACAGGGTACTGATCGGCTAGAGTGGTGATTATCTGATATGGTCAACATAGGGGGGGAGAGAATAATGGAAGAAGCCACCTGCAGCATCTTTTTCCTAGCCATCCCTTCATGCGCCTCATACACTAAGTATTCCTGATTAGTATTACATCATTCAACACTAACCCGGGCACATCATCCATGCCCTCACTACCACTGCTCCATCACTCCCTTTGTCCTGTCGAGTGACTCCAACGAAAGTACTAATACCCCCAGCCCGGCCACCGCTGGCTCTGGTGACGAACTCTACAGCTGCATTAACATCTAAGGGGGAGTTGGTCAGAGAGGCATGTACTGTAGTGGACGTGTCCATGTGGGAAGGGGCACGAACTGAGCTTCCTTGAATAGGAAAAAAGACACTGACAGGCCAGTTAACCCGTTACGAAGGAGGTTTCAAACTGCTCGACCCTTCCAAGATCAATATCATGTCGCTGCGACACGTGGCATTTTCGCATGTCTCAGCCTACAGCTACGTATTGTGAACACTCTACAGAACTCACGGCGACCTTTACTTCTCGACGGCTTTGGCGCGGTAAATCCTCACCACAACTCACGAAGCTGGTGTATCATTTGGCTTTTTTCTCAGCTGCAACCAGCGGCTGAAGTTAAGTGGACTCGAAACAAAGAGTTGACCAATCGCAAGACTCACTAACACAAAATTCGCCGATTAACCCTTACAAATACCCATGGCAATACATCTTGTCGATATCAATGAACTTATTCAGTCAATTGAATACAATCCATTGATGTAGTAGGTTACTTAGAAGCATTCAACGTATTGGGATTAATAGTGGCCCTCTTACTCAATAGAGTACGATCAAGGGCAGTCAGCATCCAATATAGAGATCAGCGATCATGACGTTGAACTTAATTACAACTGCATTAGAGTTCAGAACGGACTGAAATTACCTCCTAAATCGGAGAAAAGACCAAATAGATTGTCACATGTAAGAGGGGACTCCCCCGATGATAAGGACACGTCTGAGGTGTGCTTGTCGGTGAGCAACTTCAGCAGAGCCATGATGAGGGCATTGCGCCGTTGTATTTCATCTCTCAACTCGTTGACTTGCTCACCAAGGAAAGTGAGTGTAGGCAGCAGATCGTCGACTGTGATGAGATTGTTGTCGTGAGTGGAGGAGATACATGGGCTGAGTTGACGAGACATTATCGGCGTTGGGTCACTCCAATACGTAGCATCAGTGTAAGAATCAGTCCCAGAGTAGGTCTCAGGCTCCCACACGTCATAGCCGCGTTGCGTTGTCGCATTCAACTCCTCTGAAGAATGGGCATACGTACAGAAGCGTCCACGTTCACATGAACCATTCAAGTGGAAAGAGCACATCTTGGTCTTATAGAGTCTCCTATTGGTAGGATAGGAGTCGATGAGGAATGGCAGGGAGCTCGACCTGTTCATACTGCGGGAATGAACCGAGCCAGGAGTGATAACTGAAGAGGCCATGATGAGCTAGTAGATGGTGTTCCATGCTAAATCGTCGAGTATTGCCAACACCCTAATGCTTCAACAACCGAAAGATACGCCCATTAAAATCTTGCGCCTGAGTAGACGAACACGAAACGCTGAAGACTCGCGCTAGTCCTAGTAATCAAGTAACGCTGGCACATGATCTAGGCTGCCGCGGATCAAGTGTCCACATGCATGAGTTCGGACATCAATTTGGCGCGTGGGTTCTAATGCATCAAAGAAGTAAGTGAGGAGGTCAGTTCAGCGACGCGATTCAAATGAGGATTTCAATTTCACCTATAAGGACCACAAGATCATTAGGTAAGGAATCAGTTTCGCCGAAAAAAAACTTCATTTTGGGGACATCCTTGAATCCATAAATTTAGTTGATGAGTGATATAACCGTATTCGGATGATGAGATCCACCGCAACCCAACACTAACCGTAGCTAGAAACAATCTCAGCAGCAACAACAAGTCAACATGTGTGTAATAACATGAATACCAAGTCTCAACTATATAACCATGATACTCTCTCTAGCTAATGCAAACCACTCTAGAAACCTCCTCGGGTGCATCTCATCAACGCCAGAGTGACCGTCAAGCTACTGCGGACAGGCCCAGCTCGATAATCGGAACGCTACTTGACCAACAGCGGGGTTAGCAAACCGAAACCATGCCATTAACACGAGGACGCTCCGGAAGAGGACTCCACGAGAGGATAGAATAACAACGCGAGAGCGGAAGAACTCAGTAGAGTGTGAGAAACAATTGGGCATTCAACTTGGATGCACGGAGTTTAGTGAGACTGATGCTCGATCGGCTTGCCATCGGATCTCATCTCCTTCTCCAACAACTCCACAGTATCGGTATGCCCTGCCTCACGAGCCAAATCGATGGCTAGTTTACCTGCATGAATCGATGTATGAGATTTACATACTAACTTCACAAGTGTATGTCGGCAGCTGATCTAGTACATACTGAGTTCGAATACAAAGTCGTGCTCTTAACGGGAATGATCCACTACTGTTCCCCCTCCCACAGAGTTACCATTACCATCATTGTCTTTGATGGTATAGCTCGCCTCGGCACCGTTCTCGCAGAGAAGCCACACGATATCCTCATAACCACCTTTAGCTGCTAAATGAAGGGCAGTATCGCCGTTCTTATTAACAATATCCCGATCACAACCAGCCCATAGGAGCTGATATCGATACACTAACCATAGTTCGATGCATTCCTCATTACCATGGAAACCATCATACGGAGGTTGCCTCGACAGGCTATGTGCAAAGGCGTATCACCATTGACGTCTTGGATGTCCAATTCAGCACCACATTCGGCCATCATCGAAGCTTGAAAAATGATATCAATAGAGTAAAGCAGGAGTTAGGGTATTACCACAAGTCATTTGATTATTTGCTACGGCGACGTGCATAGGGGTACGACCAAACTTATCCAACTGGTTGAAAACCTCCGGGTCGGTGGCACTGACAGACCCTGGATAAGAACCCAACGACTGCTCCCGAGCCATTACGCGTTCACTGCTGACATATCCCCTTTACGGGCTGCCTCATGGTACTGTGTATTCGACGATGCTGTGGACATGAGCGAAATATATACACTTCTGCTACAGCGGCTCGACAGGGATGTACTTCCAATCTTACGACTTACTAATTTTTAGGTATTCCCTGTTGATTGTAAAACTGACAATCTGAAATGGATGATGTTCACCTATATGATGATGCGACTCAAGAGTTCACCTCTGAGTGGTGAGTAAGTGTATCAGACAACAATCCCACAACATCCAAACTCAAAGCCAGAGCATAACACTAGATACTGAGCTCATAGGCAAACATACATGAGAGGCACACTGAGGTAGGATTGCTGGGCGAATGCTCATAAACACACTTCATAACTTGTGATGCTACTAGCAGCATCAGGCATCATCAGAAGCATATTGGGCGGAAGTCGCCCGTTACCACCTCATCTCCGTAGGTATACCCAGCATCGTCCAGGTTCTTGCCATTCCTCTGTCCACAGAAGACTCATAAGTGGGTAAAACAGTTCAATTAACTTGTCAAAGGCAGCACCTTATACACCTAGCCATTAATCGTAGCACAACCCTACGCACTACTTCTCAATAGGCTTGAAATCGCACAGAGCTTCGGTGGCTACGAGATCTGCGACGAGGATAAAAGGATCAAAGCCTGTTGGCGAGATGACATCTACGTAATCGATAGCAGCAGCGTCTACCACGAAAACGAAGGGGAAAAGGTCGATAAAGGACTAAGCGACGATCAAGCATCCTAGCAGAGGAAGGAATACCATTGGGCTCGTCATTCCACCATCTTGGCAAGAGTGGATAACAGAAAAAGGATTCTAGGAACGCTTCAGATGCTCATAGTCCCCTCGGTGTAAGCATCGTCATAGAGATCAATCAACTCAACATGCACTCACTTGATGATGATGATAAATGATCTCCGTACAGTAGTACAACTAGTAAAGATGAATGAAACCGATAAACCAGCTGACAAGTATTCGATTATAACGATAGTTATTACTTCGACAACACCCACTACAATAGTAGCAGTCACAGTGCTTGCCCTATAATGTTGAATAATAATCAATACCAAGTATAAGTACTGTGAATCACAAGATGCGATGCTACTTGATGATAACCACTCCGGCTCTATCGAGGGAGATTGGACGGCTGATACGTAAAACCATCGAAATGGTGTACCTGTAGCAGATACATTATAGCAGCAGCACAGAGTAGAAAGCCTTCCTACGTCAGCGACTGGGGCTCCTGAATACTCCAGGCTATTGATGGCTGGTAGATCAATAAACTCTCTATCGAAATACTTAACATCAGTCTGAGTCGATACAGAGGGCTTGAACGGAGGCGTCACTTGACGCGATAACATAGCGTTCCTACAACCCAGAGTGTTGATACCGCTAAGTACGAGGATTAATGAGTACTACCAATCAACACCTTGGAAAAAAGGATGACTCTTGATATCCTGAGCATCTGCCGGTCCTGACCCTAGACGTTTGTTGGGGTCACGACAGAGTAGCTGCTCCAATAAATTCTTAGCTATGGGAGAGATATAAGATGGGTAAGACAATTCACCGTGTCTAAGGAAAGAATATGTATGATACCGTTCACCAGCTGACGGTGTAGTATTGAATAGTACCTAATCCTTTCGAACAACTTTTCCCTATCTCTTGTGTAAAATGGTGGCAGACCTGTGAGCATTTCATACATCAGCGCACCAAGAGAGTACCTGTCAGGACCTATTGTGTATCTTATTATCATCAACCTAAGATACTACTACCAATCCACAGCCTTTCCATGACCCTTCTTCTCCAGTATCTCTGGTGCTAGATATTCAGGAGTACCACACATCGACTTGGCTGAGGAGTTATCCATAATACCTGAACGCTATCAAAGATAGACACCCTAGAGTTCGGATCAAGACCACTACCTTCCTTGGATAAGCCAAAATCCGTCAACTTGACATGACCATCAGCATCTAGCAGCACATTCTCAGGCCTGAAGGATAGCTGACGACGAGGTCTAGCAAGGCCGGTATGGATCCTACTTTAGATCTCTATAGACTATATCATACTTGTGGAGATACTCAATGGCCAGCAGGATCTCCGAGGCATAGAACCGACATCTATTCTCGGAGAAGCGCTGGGCTCGGGATAGGTGGAAGAAGAGTTCGCCGCCCTGACGATAAGGAAATGACAATAGTATACCTACATGCTCATCAGAGAGTCATATTACTGGACAATACTCCAATATGAAGTAGAGCTTCTTAGGAGTCTGGAACGCATAGACCAAGTTTACAATAAAGGGATGGGAAACCGTCTCAAGCACGTTACGCTCTGTACGGGTGTGCTCAACCTAGGTCAATACACCAACTGAACACCAGCACTCTCTCACTAAACTCCCCACCTGATTCCGTTTCATCACATTTTCTTTCCTCAACATCTTCATAGCATACACGTTATTATCCTTCTTGTATCGGACCAGCATGACCTAAGTATATACTACACTACGTAGCCCCTCCCACATCCTACCTTTCCATAGCTCCCCTTGCCGATGACCTTAATCAGAACGAAGTCCTCTAGAGATACCTTGTCTTTCGGGACAAGATGGGTCCCTGGGGTGGTGTTACCGTAAGGATCATAGGGATCAGAAGTAGCAGACATTTGCAGTTCCTTTATGAAAATATTATTTCAGAGCTGAACGACATGTCTCGTTGTACGTCTTATGAAGCATCAAACCTTTCCCAGATGACAGTTGCCAACATGATATGACGTTACATCATTCAAATTGCTTTCAACTGAGATTCCTCCAAGTAGCACATCTACGACGAAAACACTCGCCCCATGCTTCCCACAGAGTTACCATCCTAGCAGCGTATGAGGGCACTAGGTGGACTAACATTACTGAGCAAGGATACCTTATCTTGGTCAAGTTGATTTCAACAACCGATGCCTCGAAGGAGCGAGACACAGAGACCTTTTTAGACGGGAAAATGCCTATTCAAGAAAAAGAGTCTTTTTGCTGAGTAGGTAATTTAAAGGTCAATTCAAATCGTATCGTTGGGCATTACCGGCCAGGAGGCCAATCATCATCTCTCAACGATGCCACTAACTAATGCGACAGATAAAGTTGTAGAGATCTCGACCAACCGGATACCACCATATTTTCTGCCGACGGCGCTTAGACAAACTTTCAACCGCGCTCGCCCGCACGCGGACACCTGTCCCATGACCAATTATTCTCAAGCGAGTTGATGGTAGTGTTTTTGAGGTTGTTATATTCAATGGCAATACCCTTATCTTTGACCTTTATTGAAGCACTGCGTCGAATCGTTCATGCGCGTCGGTATGTTTAGGTGTTCCTCGTGCTCCTTATTGGGGTCCGCGAGGCACCTCACAATCCAGCTGCCGCTGCTAAGCTCCGACATTGGGAAGGCGAGCTGCGAAGCAGAGAGCCGCTTGGCTGGTTCGACTGCACGAAGCCGCAGGACTGGCCGAGATTGCTGCGCAATAATCTTCTCGTTCGGAGGCTAGTCGAACGATTCGCGAACGCGTTTCTCGTGTTGTGTGTTTCTGCAGCTACTGGGTGGGAGACATATGTAAAATCGCGACCAGTAGCTCAGACGCCCGACCGGGCTCAAACCACAGGCACTGACTGCTCGGAGGTACCAGTGGTGGTGTTTCTCAGGGTCAAATGTTACCGTCGGTAATTTGGAAATTTTGTGCCCTCATTTTTGGGGTTGACCCTCAGCTTCTCGCAGGTTGAAGTTGAACCTTTCCACGGTGGTTGAAGCTGAGTCAGGTCGAAATGTACCCGTTTGGGGTATTCTCTGGGTGGCGTGGGAGGGGGAAAACCGTGAAGAGCAAGCGCTTGGTTGTCTCTTGAGCCAAGCTGACAGATACGAGTTTCTGTCAGCTTGCCCGACATACAATTGAGTATGTTGCGCCAGCTGCAATGGTTGATCGATTTCAAGCTATGCACGGAAAAATAATTGTGTTCTGGAGCGGCGCATTTTCTGCCCTCCGCCCAGAGTTGGAGCTTGCTCGGCGTGGATTTTGACCGGTCAAACCTGTTTCACCACCAGTCTCTTTGTGACTGGAGGTTCCATGATTGACCTTGCATGAATTTAGGAGTAAGAAGTGCAACTGTACTGAAAACATCTCGCATCACGTGAGCAGTGCAGTCACCTCCGTTACGGGAGAGTGTGCAAAACTGGAATCCACTGCGCAGAGGACACAATCTGCACGTGCGTGCGCACATATGCGTGCAAGATACGTACGACCGTCCCACGAAACTTAGCCTAACAATCTCCTGCTTCTACGTAGAGCAGCGATGCACTACTGGCCTGGCGCATTTTAGCTACACCCATCCGAGTCGGGGGATGTGCGTCGGGACCGCATCGGTGTGCAACAAGTGAAACCCAGTTCACACCAATGGTGTGACACCATGCGTTCCCTGAAACATAGAACTTTGGGACATTCGCAGGTCATGGATTCTCGGAGTGCCGTTCTACAGACTAGACAATGAAATTACTAGTCTGAGGGTAACGGCAACGGTGACTGATTGGTAATCTCGCGCACACTTGGAGATCCAGCCTTCGCTGAATGGCGCCTGTTGCGCCGCCGACGCGGTTCTTCAACCCAACACTCTTGCGTCAAAAGGTCTTTCGTGTTCGATCATTACATATGGACGACTTCTGGGCGGCTGGGCGACTCCTGGCTGAATCAAATGAAGTCTACAGAACTACTTTATTGGCGTATTTTTCACCAACAAGATTTCATCAAACTCATTACTAACGAGTCGTTAGGGTCCAGGATAGCAGGATCCGCCAAGTTCCGTCTTGCTTGGTTCCTAGGACATCAATGGACCTCCAGGCTGGAAGTCTGAATCGGCTCTGTGTTCAAGCTGGAGGCTCCAGCTTTATCGCAGAGTTGATCGACGTCTCTATCTGTGTCACAGATTCTGTGGATATATAGACATATGTACTCGGATTACAGTGAAACTACACCTTCCCTTCACAAATATGTTCATCATCGCGACGCGCGATTGGCAAAATTGTTACACTGATGTAGATTTATCACACGTCTGGTCAACTGTCACGTGTAATACGAATAATATTTGTATCATAATACGCGTGTATCGCGTGTATCGTAATACACGTAAGAGTTCTCTTTTCACAAGAAGTCAGTCAAGAATCTCAGTTAGTTTCGCCCCTTTCGGCTGTACATATGAATACTTGAATCTCGATAGCAAACAGATACAGATAGTATATGGTATGGCATAGTACTTGCTTTTCGACCTTAGCACAACCATGATACATCAAATCATTCACCTCTCACGTTTGCCTGACTCAAGTCGTGTTCATTGATTCATCGGTATCTGAAACTGCGATAGTTGACCTCTTCAGTAGCTCTTACTGAGAAAGAGTAAGACTTACTCAGAAGTTCGCAGAAAGACGCATGCCGTGTGATAACTACCTCATAACTAACAGAACACGAATGTACTCAGAAATAGAGAAACATCATAAATACGCCGCTATAGCGGAACCACCACATCGTAGCGGTTCCAACGGTAGAAAACAAGTAGACGGTAG